TCCAGCAGCCGTCGTTGATGCTGCGCCATCGCACAGACCTGTGGCCTGCCAGGATTGTGCAAACGCAGAAACAGGCCAAGGCTTCAATTGCGGCGCCAAAGCAATATCTTTGCGCTCTGGATACCTACACCCGAAAGTGGGGTAAGCCTCACCCTTCCCAGATCACCTCGCGCATGTTTCGCGGTAAGGAGGTCAAAGGTGTGCTCGTCACCAGAGACGAAGATGAAGGAATGTATGGGTTGGATGTTACGGAGGAAACCTCGGCGGTCATGCAGTGTGCCATGGCAGATGTGCAACTCCGCGAAGGCCAGGCGGAAGAGACCTTCGACTTGTTGTCCCGCAGCGTGGTCGGCAGCCATCTCTGCAGCGATGGCTCAGAGGGCAATGGGCCAATGATCCTGATGCCGGCGATTGAGCCCGGTGCCGGTTCGGGTGATGTCGACACTGCGAAAGCCAGGGGCAGTTTGCTGAGCAGTTTTCGCTTGGTTTCCAGCAAAGCCATCCAGGATCGAGATGCTGCCGGTGGCCAGGCCCAGCCGTCGGGTGCGGACCAGTCGGATTCAGATCATGGCGAGGATGATAGGCCAAGCAGTTTCTTGGCTGGCGTGTGCTCGAGTGTTGCTCGCGGTGCAAAACGGGTGGCCCCTGCTGAAGTCCCGAAGCCAAAGAAGGCTGGCAAGACTGCGGCAGTGAAGCCTGCAACGGTGGAGCAAGCGCCGCCGACCGCAGCAAAGGCTTCAGTTGATCCTGCCGGGAGTTCTTCGAGCGCCCCAGCTGCCGCCCGAGCGACCGCTGCTATCGTGAGTGAGAACATCTTGGGCCCAGCAGCGATGGATTCCTTCCCTAGCGCTGAAGAGGCCCAGGCAGCATTCGCTAAAGTCCGGAATAAATCTGGGCCGGGGAAGCGCAGCGCTGATGACATGCAAACGGCTGACGAGGCTTTGTTGCTGAGTGTGCAAGCTGATCTGGCAAGCATCTGCGACACGTCGGTCCTGGAGTGCAGCACTGAAGAACAGCTTATGGAGTTTGCAGCTGAGCAAGCCAAGAAAGCAGCAAACGTCCACACAAAGTCCATCGGTCGGGTGAGCCAGATCAAACGTCGCAAGACGAAGCAGGATGCGGTGCTTCAGGAGCAATCAGACGTTGGAACGCAGCTCCAGCAAGCCGCCGAAACAGCCCGAGCTTTCCAGAAGTTCTTCAACGAGCTTGCCTCCAACAACCCGTGCTCTGTGGAACTCACTGGCATCTTCAAGATCTTGGAAGAAGTTGGCTACAAGTTCGCCGGCGCTGCCGTTGTCAAGATGTGTAGGGCATGCATTTTTGAGGAAATGAAGTTCGGCAGGTGGGGAGTTGTAGCTCAGTGCTTCACGGACAAGTCCGATGTAGGCAAGCGAATGAATGAGGACTGTGCAGACCAGTTGTTGGGCCAAGTGCTTCAGCGCCTTCTTGTGTGCTTGCCTCTGCTTGGCAAAAGCTTGCTGAGCACGGTTCACTACAAAAACCTGCACGGCTTCATCCACGCATTGGAGCGTGAACCGGTGTTGATTGTCAGTGATTCACTGAAACAACAACTCGGCACCCTTGCGCAGGCAATGCGAGTGTTCTCTGGCCAAGAGACGGACCTTGCGCATGATGCGCTGGCAGCCGTCAACGCCATCGAGACGGCAAGTGCTGCGGATCATCAACAACTTCTTCTCTGCTTCATGCAGGTGAAGCAGGGGAAGATCTGTGTACAGGAGCTCAAGGCATTCTGGCTGAAGCGAGCCAAGGATCAGCTCCACTTGAAGAAGCTGAGCGTTGCCAAAGAAGGCATCCAGGCCGCAGCTGAAGGGCTCGAAAAGCCTACTACTACTACGGAGTCGGAGGCAAACCTTGCCGAGAGGATTGCCAACGCCAAGGGCTACTGGGATGACCTCGTCGAAGCGGATAAAGCCGAGCCGAAAGCTTCCGACATTGCCAAGCCCTTGAAGGCTGTTTGGCTCAGGGTTGCAAAGAGCTTGGTCAGAGATCATCTATGCCGTGAGTTCGTGCCACACCTCACATCAGTGGCCCGTGACATTGAGAGCCTGAACCAGATCCGTGATGTGCCGGGTTGGGAGATCATGCTGCTCCGCGATGCATTCAGTGCAGCAGCCGGCGAAGACACATCGTCTCCCTTCCAGCTTCACGACTTCTTGGCTTCTTTGTGCAAGGCTTCCGCTTCGTGGCGAGCGGTGGAGCAGACTGAGAATGAACAGTTCAGTAGCAAGATGGATCTTCATCAGGCTTGGCAAGCAGTTCGTCCTGTTCTGGTATCTAACACGGCAGACAGTTACATGCCATCTCTAACAGCCGACGTTGCCTATTTCGACCGTGTTCTCACAGGTCTTTTGCTCTCTGGCTTCATGAAGCAGGCGTGCGAGCTCAAGAAGTGCATACTCGAACAAGTTGTGGAGACCATGGCTGCCAAGGAATTCAGCAAGGACCTGTACAATATCGAGCGCTGCCAGCAGGTGTGTCACTGAATTTCCATGTGAAGTGATGCAGTCAATTCCTCTATGATTATGGAGTTATGGTTATGGTCCCGTGTTATAAGGTAAGTTATATAATATAATATAATATAGTAATAGTAATAAGTAATAATAAAAATAAAAATAAAATCTTATCGCATATTATCTTTTTTATATGTATATACCTAATTTATATTAAAGCAGATTGACGGTGGTACCGCCGATCAGATAGAGACAGGCTTGAGATAGGATCTCAGGCTATGCTTTGTGCAGTACCAGTTTGATTTGCGGTTTAAGACATGTGGTGTAGTGAAGTTGTTGGCGGTGTAGGTTTGAGTTGAAAGTTAAAGGTGTGTTGCGGGGGAGGTTGTGGACCTAAAGTCTTGCGTGCTAAGACGTGTTGGTGGTCACGGCTTCGGTTTGTCACGGTTGAAAACGTTTACGGTTCAAGACACAGAGTTAGCGACTTCGTTGGCGGCTGTTGCCAGTTGTAGCTCTAGCCGTTTAAGAGATGTAGTCGTGAGTCGTGAGCGTGTGAGGTTTCAGATGTTGACTGTTGACTTGTAGGCAGTTTAAGACATGTGGTGTAGAGAGGTTGTTGACGGTTTTATCGTTTTCAAGACAAGCGGGGTAGGGAAACGTCGGTGGTTACAGCTTACATTTGTCAGTTACCGTTGGTGTAGGGAACAGCGAGCGGCTTCAGCGTGTTTAAGACATGTGGTGGAGGGAGTTGTTGGCGATTTCAGGTATATAACACTTTAAGACATGTGTTGTACGGACTTGTTGGCGGCCGTTTTAACATACTCAGACTCAGACTCAGTCATGCAGTGAAGGCTCCATTTCGATGGCTGACGCAAGTTGTGCTTTGTGTGTCCCGTGATTTCTTGTGTTGTTGTACCAGACCTTTAGCAAATGCCAATACACTGGTAACCTGTCGTAAATGTAGTTGTAGCAATTTGGACTGGCCTGAAACCTTGGCCGAGTCCAAGTTTTTGATACGATGGCCGCCTTCGCAGATGAAGCCTTGTATCATATAACTTATCTCATCGTAGTCCGCGCTGGATATGATGATACACACCTACATGTAAGGGTATGTATGTAGATAGATATGTACGACACTCCTTGTCGTCATATCTATGGTGATATGATGCAATGGTGCAATGTGATGTTCTGTAGTTTTCTGTACCGCTGTACCAAAGTTGGCTGGGCTATCTTTGTTTGTCTTCCGCGTCAGGCCACCCGCTTGGCCGTTGCAATGATGTCGGAGACCGAGTCAGCGGAGGAGGCCAAATCCTTGAAGCTTGTCGCCGAGGAAGGGGAGCAGTACTTTCTGTTCACCTTTAATGCCCTCGTGTTCCAGGCGAATGTAGACAAGATCCAAATCAAGCCGAAGCTCGATCAGGTGACGATTGAGACGTGCGAGCGGTTGAGTTACTGTCGGCACGCTATCAAGGAAACTTGGGCGAAGAAGGATTTGGAGGCGTCGGCTTCAAGTCTGGGCCTACAGAAGGGCTCGGAGCCTTTCGCAGGGTATGTCGAGATTCTCCATAACATCATTGAGGACGTCGAGAACGTGTGGTGCTCGCGCGTGTTGCAGCAGATGACCACGGCGATTGAGGAGTGCAAGGCTGCCTCGCAAGCGGCCTTGGACCAGATGCCTTCGATGGAACCGTTCGGCGAGTTCGTGACTGCAGTGAAGAAAGTGCAGCTTGGCGAGAAGTGCAGCAACGCCAAGAAGATTGTCGATGCTTGCGAGACGATTGCCAAGCACTCCGGTCTTCATCCTGATGCCGAGCTAGTGGCTTCCTGCAAGGGTGTGTCCAAGCATGGGCTTGGGCTTGTCGCAACCGGCAGCATCAAGCTTCTGCTGTCAAGCAAGCTGTGGACTACATTGACTCCTGATCTAGCGAAGAACAAAGACTCCAAGCACTACTCTTTGTTGCAGAGCTTGAACGAGAACCGTTTCTTGGTGCAGCAGTGCGGGTTGGAGATCCCTGCAGACCTGCAGGCTACCATGACCGAGCGTCTGCAGAATGCCGGGATGGCCGAGAAAGGTACAGTGTAGGATGTCATGCCTTAGGCAGGAATCCGGAATCCGGTTTGCCCTTTCCGGGTGACCGCTTGAAGTCTCCGGCTAGCATTGCTCCCGGTCTGCAACAATTGTGATCTTAGATCGTAATGTGTAGGTTGTAAGTTGTAAGTTGTAAGTAGTCTATTTCTGTGTAGATAAGATTAGAAGTTAGCACATGTTGTCACCCTCGTTGCATCTTTAAGACTTGCGGTGTAGGGAAGTTGTTGTCGGTTATTGTTCAAGAAACAAGCTTTTGCAACTGGCCTTTGGGCCTGCGGCGCGGGTCGTCCAAGCTCGGAGTGAAAACGACTAAAGCGTGTAAAAACTCAGCATGTACGGTATGCTACAAAAGGGGCTAAAGTTCGTCACCCCGCCTGATTTGCACAGCTCACTTGGCTGCGTCAAAACACCACAACTTTACACAGCATACCGTTGCTTTACTAACCATCCCTGAGCTGGTGCTGACAACAGAAACCGGGACTAAAACGCCTACCATTACCGCGAACATGACGACACTCTCGGGAATGGTACGAACGACCATGTGGCGTAACCCACACTTCGTCCGGGAGCCTCGTTTGAAACTCAACTCTGGTGCGGATTTCTACATGTGGCTCGTGATGCACCGGATCCGTTTGGACCGACGCATTCTTCAGCATGGTTTTCTTCTTAGACCCAAGGCCCAAACGACACAACGAAAACAAGTCCTTAAGAGCATATGCCGTAACCATCATAGCCATGCACTGCCACATTCCTAGCTGCGTTGCTAGTTCTCCTAAAAGCTGTACTGCTACTCCTGCACCTACCGTTGTGTCACTCACTTGTCCCGAAAACTGCTCACTCACTCTTGCGCGCCACAGGTACACCACCGCACACATGATTGCAATGATGCCAACACACACTGCAGTCACAAAGCTCTGGCTCACTGAAACTGCTGGCGAAGGTCCAGCCGTCAAGTGCAAAGTCGTAGCACACTCAACTGTGCTCAGCATGCTGATCATCATCAGCCAAGCCATCGGATTCTGCAATGCATGCTTGCGCGTGGCTTGCGCAAACATTCTTCTCACACTCTTGGTCTTCTGCTTTGCCAACAGCTTCTGCTCAAGCTCAGCACGTTCACGCTCGCCGATTGGCGAAGGAGTGTCCTCACGACAATCCACCATGTTGTGCATGTTGGTCAAAGCTTTCAGCCTCACTGCACTGCTCGGCACTTTCGTGCCCACATCACTCGGATTTCTCTCACCCTCTATCGGTTTAACCGAAAACTCCTTGCGGGCGGTGCGTTCTTGCACCCAAAGGAGCCGGCCTTCCACGTGACGAAGCTTACCACTGCAACCCTGTTTAACAGCAAGTTGCCGCGCGGCCTGGTTGTCCACGCGGAGGACCAGTTCCACTTCCTGCTCGACCACAAAACGCAAAATCTGTACAATGTAAAGTCCATCTGCTGCTCCTGACACCAAGCTGTAATATTCTGCTTCCGAACTGGATAGTGTGATGCACTTCTGAACCCTGCATGTTGAATAAATGCAAGTGCCGTTGATATAGAAAGATCCTCCGGTCATTGATCGCCGGCTTCGCTTATTTCCTGACCAGTCTGAATCAGTGCATATCTCCAGTAACAGCTTGGATCCCGGCACACCAGGATTGAGAATGGATTCACCACACTCACCTGCCGTCACCAAGGTTCCGTAACAGCTGGTGCCGTTCAGGTACATGGCCAACTTCTGAGCACACCGCCACGCGTGCTCGGTCGGGTTGCTCAGCCACGTGCTCAATGTTCTAACTGTGTAGGCAATGTCCGGTCTGTCATTGGAAATGTACATGCCCACACCCACTGCTGATCTGAACTGCGATGCTCTCTCTGGGCTCAAAAGTTTGCTGTCATCATGCGAAACAATGTCTTTGTTGCATGGCACTTTGGACACCTGCTGCTTGCGAACACCTAGCACATCGGACATCTTCTGAGCATAGGCGGACGGGCTGCGAATCACAATGCCGTACTGCGTGCCACACTCAACCAAGAGGTGCTCTCTCTTGAGAAAACTGAACTTGTCTCCAGCTTTTACCATGATCTCGAACGCGACGGTGAACTCTTTCTTAAGTTCGGGAACGAGGTAGCCCATCAGCCAGCTTTTGCGCGCCAACATCAACAGATCGTCTACATGTATAAGTCCTGGCTTCTTGTCGGCTTTGAAGACTGCTGGGCATACCGGGCAAAGTTCTAGAGACATTCGATCTGAGATAAATTTCATCATGTGTTGGTTCCACCTGGCTGCTCCATCCCTTTGCCCTGGCAAAAGTTTCAAGAAACGCATCCTCCTGTTCTCAAAGCCCCTCACGCGAGCCATCATCGGTTGCTCCTGTGGAACGCAGAGATAAGCGTCCTTAATGTCTAACGCCATCAATGCAAACGGGTCCTCTTCATCGCCTTGGTCGCCATACTCGTTGAGCCGCCTGAGCTCACACAGCATCCAAGGCAATATCCTGACGATCGCTGAAGTCGTGGCAGGACTATACAATCCTTCTCTATCCTTTTCAAGCCATTTGTACTCTCTTGCAACCAAACGACTCCTACGATACACCATCTTCTTGCCATCTTTGGTCTTATGCCTCCATGATCTCACGAATTTGCTGGAAAGCTCTTTCACACCCTCCGTGCTCTCACCCTCGGCCACATACTCAAGAACTTTCATCCTTACCAACCGCTCCACGTCAAAACAATCGGCCTTGTAGTCAAGAGCTTGGAGCTGCTCCTCGGTGAGGTCGGGGATGTCATCGAACCAAAAAGCATCATCGGCCTCCAAGGCGGCTTCATCTTGATCACGTAGAAGATCCGTTTCACCTTCCATGTCATACTCTGCATCTTCCCACTCCGGCATCGACTCCATGGGCTCATCATTCACTGCCAGCTCGTCTGTTCCGAGCCGGCAAACCCGTCGGTGCTTTGCAGCTCGCTCGGCCACATCAGCAAGCATCTCTGAGTCGGAGATAGCATCCGTCTCCGGCGTCGTTGGCGGGTCTGTGCCCGCTATCTCCATTGGGCTCGGTTCTGGCGCGGCTGCTGCCGCACTCGGCTGCTTGGGTCGATCGAGCAACAAAGTCGCCCGTCGACTCGGTGGCGCAGTGTCACCGCTGCTTGCTGCGGCATCCCCGCCAGGAATCACAGATCCTGGTCCTTTGGAAGAAGGTCCTGGAGCCGGCTTTTCCACGGCTACCACGGTGGGCTCCTTAGCATGTGAAGCACCTGGTACCTGAAGAGGAGGCAACGGATCCTCAATCTCACCTTGGCTTTTCTTCATCTCCTCGAAAAGAAGCTCTTCTTCAGCCGCTGCGCTGGGGGTGCGATGCCGGGACTGTGGGAAAACCTTGGCACCTAGAACCCCTAACTGATAGGACCAAGGGAACCCTTTACTATCCTTAACCAGCTTCTGCTCATCCTTCCAAGGCTTGTCAGTGCGACGCACCGAACGCGTGAGCCACACCCCTTGTTCACTCATGAGCACATACATGTCATTGCCCGTGCTCTTGGTCACGAACAGGGCTCGCCGCCACTTCCGATCCCCTTTGGCCTTGCCTTTCAAGAAACCCCACACAGGCTCACCGAAGATTGCAAGCTTGCCGGAATACCGGCAGCCGTGGCATCGCTCGTGGGCTGTTGCCCCGCCACGCACCGCATACCTGTTCAGCAGGAAACTGGCGTGAACATAGGACCAGGGCATCAACGGATGGTCTGGCCCAACTTCAACACCAAACTGGGTCCGAACATAATCAAGAAGCACATTGCTGAGACCACGCAGAAGGTCCACACACTTTTCTGCATGCCCGCTCGAAGCATGCGACTCAACCGGTGCATCACGCACCAAGGTCTTGAGACCCAACTTGTTGCGCAAAGAAACAATCATGTTCTGTAGCATAAGCATGGCCGGTTCGTTGTCACATTCAATCTTTATCGTTGCGTGCCCCAACGATTGCACAAATCTTATAACTTCCACCGCTGCATGTTTGAGCTCCACCTGGTGCTTGCTTGGCAAAGGAAATGCAAACATGCTGCCGGTGCCGGTGTCGTGGCCCACAAGAATTGTGAGCTTCTCCTTTGGCTGGCCTCCTTCCGAGACCCCAGTGTAACACAGGTCGTAGCTCACAACCGGCACGTCACGATCACTACTCAAAGGCAGCTTCTGGTGGCGATCCTCAACACCACGCATCGACAGACAGTGCTGGCACCACGGGGCGTAAGGCCAATGAGTCAGATTGTGCAGCTGGCGTTCCGCCGCCGTGGGTTCTCTGATCACCGCTTGCTGGGCCGGCTCTCGGGTCCGGTCGGCCTGCACCGAAGCCTCAGCCTCGGCCGCCATTAGCAATCGCTGCTTGTCCATGAACCCACGCAAGCGGTCCCAACACCTTTTCTTTCCACCGCTCTGTGACACCCCGGCTCGCTTGCAGGCTGCCCTTAGAGCACTCAAGGTGGAGGTCAGCGTCAACTCAACACCGTCAAAGTGCAACACTTCAGGCTCACTGGCGACAGGCGGAGGCACACCAAGCTCTAAGTCGGGCACCGGCTGCGGTTCCACGGCACCTTCCATCTCATCATCTTCCTCTGCCACAGCATCCGGCGAATAATCGCCATCCTCCTCGAAAGGGCCCTTTGGCTGCGGGCCGCTCCAGTTTGTGATGGCGCGGCGGCCACCTGGCAACACAACGGGGCTTTCACTGTCATGCGTCAGCACTGTGATGATCTCACACTCCCCGTGCGGCAACACTGCGGTGGCGTTGCCCAGCATGCCCCATTGCTCACACAACTCAAGAACCAGCCAACGGGACCCTTCTTCACACTTCTTGACTAAGGTCGTGCGACACGGCCAACCAACCGGAGCAACGAGCGACGGATCCACAAAGGTGCTGGTCCGCCCTCTGAACAACATGTGTCCCTCTTCGGTCATGCTCCAGCCGAAAGCTGCTTCCTCCCAGTCACTCGGGGGATCGAGGGCAACAAAACGCACCGACGCATGCTCGACCTCGGGCTCAGGAGGCGCCTGGCTGTGGCCCTCGACGCTGTTCTCTTCACTGCCCTCGACTCTGTGAATGCATGCTTTCACGCAGAGGCTGTTTCCTTTGAAAGTCATCGGAACGCTCAACCCCGACGAATGCTCCATTCTGAGTGGCCGCCTCTGGGGCCACCAGCCACTCTTCATCAACCTTCCGCTGCAAAGCAAGGGTTGAGTAACATCCGAGATGACGCAACGTTCTTTCCACACGACCGTGTCATGATCGGCCGTCTCCATCACGAACGCCACCTCCCGGATGTCCCGAATCTTCAACGGGCTTCCCTGTGCATCGCTAAGCCTGACCGAAGGCCCCGAGGTTGTGACCCCATGGTCGGCAAAAGACAAAGGGAGGCATGACATATCCGCCCCTGAGTCCACTATTACATCATACCAAACCTCAACACCATGCGACTGGCTCACGGCACGCACGCTGCAACTGCCTTCTGGCGGGACGCACCTAGCGCTCGGCACCACTAGCCACTCTGCCTCACCTTCGCTCTCAGGGTCCACCTGCTGGCTGTGGAGTCCAGGGCACCACGTCCACTCACGGTCGCTGTCGGTGGCTGTCATGTCGAAAACTTCAACAGGGGACCCGACACACACATGAAGGCTTGTGGAGCTAACGCCTGCCAACTGACCAGTACGCTCTACGGACCTGACTGCTTCCTCTGACCTCGCAACTTCCTTGGACTGCCTGGCAAAATGCACGGCACTGCTGGAACCTGCACGCTCTACGGACCTGACTGCTTCCTCTGACCTGGCAACTTCCTGGGACTGCATGGCAAAGCGCACTGCATACACCCCGCCATCCCAGGATTCTCCAACTTCTCCCAAATCGAACACATGAACACTGCCCTGAACTCTGCGAATTGAGCTCGCGGCTCCCGCTGTGGACGGGGCCGTCGACGCGGCACTGGATGCGGGAGGCTCTCGGGCTGCACCGCCGGCTGGGTCTTGAACCTGGGCAACGCTGGCTTTCCCTTTGTGCCAGCAATCTCGGGCCAAATGCCCGGTGCGGTGGCAAATGTGGCACTCACGCGTTTCCTTCCACTGTTTGCCCTTCTGCTCCTTGCCCTTTCCTTCTTGCTTGCCTCCTTTTCCTTTCCCTTTGTCCTTTCCTTTGGGCTGGCCCCCGGCTTCATTCCAACGACCGCCTCCCCCTCCTTTGCCTCCTTTGTCCTGGCCCTTCTTGCCCTTTGCTTCCTTGCCCTTCTTGCCTTTGCCTGGCTCCTTGCGCCACTGCACTGCATCCACTTCCATGTGAACAGCATCATCATATGCATGCTTCTGGGCTGTGGCTTCCTGAATGGTGCCAAAGTACGAAACAGACTGCCACTTGAAATGCTGGCGCTCCATCCTCAAGCTAGCCTCTCTCACCTGTGCATACGTAGCATCCTCAGGCAAACTGGCGTAAATCTGGTTCTTGGTGTTGGCAGGCAGGCATCTCAAAAGCAAAGCGGTTTTCACACTACCTTGAAGGGTCTCTGAAGCCGACTGTTCATAGGTCGAGAAAACCCTCTCCAAATCCAAAATCTGGGGCAGCAGGGCCTCTGAGGGCTTGAAGGCAGGAACCTGGGTGATTGCGGTCAGGATCCCTAAGCTGCGGCCTTGCGATCGAGGAGCAAACAAGCTCATAAGCTGGCGCAATGCTTCGAAGCCGTTACCGGCTTCCGTCTGTCGCACAACTAAGTAGCCTCTACCACGGATCAGGGCTGCAAGAAAGGAGTAAAGCTGTCGTGACCTCTGCTGTTGCGCAATGGTACCCCAGGCCTTTGTGATCACATTGTTGGGTTGGGCTTCCAAGGTCTCTATGTCGGGCCCATACCCGGGGTCCAAAGCGCTCAAGTACTGCTGAAAACTCCAGAACCAACCGGGCCACGCGGTGTGCTCTTGCTCCCTGCTTGTCGCAGAGAAAATTTCAGGCTTGGGGAGCACTCTAAGCATGTCCTTTCCCGAGACTACAGGCACACCGTCTCTTGAAGCTGTCGCTGCTGATGCCGCGGCGGCTGCCGCGTCCGATGCTGCACGCGTTGCTTCGGAAAGTTGCTCAAACAAAGCATTCAACTCTGCCGGTCCTAGCACAATCTGACCATGAGCTTGCGAGGCTGTGGGGCTAGCAGCAGGGAACGGGTTCGCAAGTTCTTCGTCTGACTCAGGCACTGGCTGCCCTTGCGCACTGCCTTGAGCGGCCATGGCTCTTCCACTCTGCAGGTGGGATTGCAAGCTACCCGACTCGCGCTTACAAAATCAACCCACTGAACACGAGGGAAAACTTCAGCACACTGGCCCCTGAACTCGAAACCCCAGTTCCTACAACCTTCGTGATCGGAACTCTGGTCAGCCAGAGCTCCGCTACCATGTTCAAGAAACAAGCTTTTGCAACTGGACTTTGGGCCTGCGGCGCGGGTCGTCCAAGCTCGGAGTGAAAACGACTAAAGCGTGTAAAAACTCAGCATGTACGGTATGCTACAAAAGGGGCTAAAGTTCGTCAGTTATGCAATCATATCATATCACATATCATGTTGCGACATGTGGTGTAGGAATGGTTGGCGGCTACAGTAGCAGCATGTTGATGGGTTTAGCAGCCACTTGGTGTAGGTAGTTGTCGGCGGTTTCAGTGTGAGTTTCTGTTTTCAACACTGGAAGGTCGTATCGAAGGTACTGGTTGGTAGGGACGTACTGCTGTGTCTGTGTATGTGTTCAATCGTAGACGCTCCGGAAGCAGTGCGATCGTGCGGACACTGACACCTGAAGAACGCGGCTTAGCCGGTCAGGTAGTTTGTTTCGCAGAGCTCCATGACTCGTGTTGTTTGCCCAGTGGTCTTTGGGAAGTAGTTCAATCAGCCGCAGATCAATGTAGTGATCCGCAGTCATCGGTGCTCGAGGCGGTGTGTGCCACTTAATTAATGATTGGGTCATTGACGCACAGGAACCTGCTGAAATCGGCAGTGCATCGCACGTGGCGTGAGAAAGTCAGTTACCGACACTTATCACTTATTTTGAGCGGCAGCGGTGTTGCACTTGTGCATGAGCGAGCAAACTTCGACACAGACCGCGGCATGTACAGACACCAAAGGGCAACTTGATTTATCCCGCGGCACGGTGTCATCGCCTGGTAGACTACAGATGTTGTAACACAGATACTAGCGTCTACTTATGTCAATGTGTTTCAACTCGGCATTGCTAGATACAAACGTCGCTTCGAGTGTGTGGCAGTTGAGCCTCGCTTTGCCGGGGCGATGTCGCCGAAAAAGGCAAGCAGTCCTACGCCGGCCAAACCGCAGAAGGTCAAGAAGGAAGCAGCGGAGAAGAAAGCAGCGGCAGCGGCCGCAAAAAAGGAGGCTAAGGCTAAGGCTGCAAAACAGAGCACGCCTGCCGAGGCCAGTTCGGGTGTCGATCTTGCTGCTACTCCTACAATCGAGCACTTCTTCGTGGGCGTGGTGGGTCAAGAGCGTGAAGAGCGTGGCCAGAAGGAGGAGACAACTACACCAGAAATGGTTGCAGCAGCGCCGAAGGAGCCGGAGCCACCGATACCTGGGCTGTCTTGTCCAACCACAATTGATGGTGGGGTGAATGCGGAGTCACTGGTGTCACGTGAACGTTTGGAGGCGGCCTCAGAAGTTCCACAGCATACAGCTTCCCCAGACGATCGAGCCGGACAGGGAGCAGAAAACGATCCAGCACCTCCACAAGCAGAAGTCGGCCCTCCTTCAGCGCAAGACGCAGCAGAAGAGTGTGATCATCAAGGTGGCCGTCATGGCGATGGTGATGCTGACGGTCGCTCGTTGGATGCGACTGCTTGTGACGGTGGCAGCGCAGCTCCAGCAGGCACAGGCTTCGGTTCGGGAGCATTGGTCTCGGCTGGTTGCAGTGGTGCAGTGCTGTTGTATTGTATCCACGTTAGAAGTTAGAAGTACAAGTTGTAGACTCGTCGGCATGAATTAGGCTAGCGGCTAGCGGAGTTCCACAACGGATCGCGCAGGCGGGATTGATTCCACAAAAACGATGGGAGACACAGCCAGCGCAGACAGTGACTCTACAGACGGGGATGACACCCATGGCAGCTCAACTGAATATGTGTCTGGTCGAGTAGCTTCCTGGTCGAGTCATGCGGATCAGGCTAGTTGCATGTTTCATACCCTACATGATGCATGTGACTCATGAGACCGCCTGAGCTGTTGACCGTTTTCTCCTTTTCCAAGCGTCATAAGACAACCAACACCACCCGCGCGCCCCCACCCACCACTGTCTCCGCAACCGCCACTGCTGCCACGACCTACACTGCCCATGCCAATGCCACTGCCAACAGCACAGACTTGACACGGCCACATGTGATGTTAGCTACGTTGTTGTACGGGTGTAAAGTTGTAAGTTGTAGTTGTAATTTGTAACTGTTCTATTTCATTCTTATGTCATAGGCTGTAAGTTTTGAAATAAGCATAGCTTGTATTGTATATCGCTCTATCTCTATACCTTTTCTGTGCCAGTGCCTGTAGCAATCATAGCGGCAGTATGACTACGATGTTTTTTTCGAAAATTGTTGAGCATGAATCTGGTCGGCGACCCCCAGCTGAGGATTGCTTGGCTTTGCAACGGATTTCTTAACTCCCAAAACTCCAACCCCACCGCGGGGCCAGAGCGCATTTGCTGACTTGCAAGCGGCCGTGCTGAAAGAGGCGGAGACGGCTTCAGACGCAGCAGAAGATGCGGGCAACCAGCCTGTCGTTGGTACTCCTCATCCTCTGGACGAGGTGTTTGAAACTGATTTGCTGGGAGACTTTCCAAAGCGGCCGAACGCCAGGGACCAGGAGGAGTCCTTCCGTGAATCAATTTACGATTTGGAAAGTCCTCATGCTACGGTTGATATGCCGAATTTCTTAGCAAATGTGGCAGCCCACTTTGCGGCTGTAGTGAAATGGGAACAAGAAGCACGTGCAGCAGGCGAAGACGTGGAGCCAAAGCCGTGTGCTCTTGGCAACATGCTGCCGAAGAAGTTGATTCTTTGCTCTTTGTGCTCCGGGTCAGGATGTGGAGAGCTGGTAGCGGATTCAATTGCACAGGCCTTCAGCAAAGCCTTTGGCACAACTTTGGATGTGGAGGTTGCCTTCGTCGCAGAGAACACCAAGTACAAGGCGCAGCACCTCATGAATCATATCCTCAAACCGCAGGCTAGCACTTGTTGCTTTGATGACATCGTCACGTTATGCAAGAACGAAGGCAAGTGCCTGCGCCACAAGCCGAGCAAAAAGGCAGCTTCCAGCTGTGAACTTGTGGTATCAAGACGAATCTACCGCGAGACCGGTGCATCTCATCAATGGTCGCTCTTACGTCAGGCTTTTCTTGCAAAAGCTTCTCAAAGGCTCACCCGAATTTCAAAGCTTTGCGCACAGCCATGGTGGATGACAATGCTGAAACGTCTTCCGTGAAGACTTTCAAAGCAACTGTAAAGACCATCGAGGAGATTGGAAGTTTGCTCGACTTCTTCGTGTTGGAGAATGTTGACAGCATCGGCTCACCCAGCGATGAAACGTCGAATTTGGCGGCCGTGCTCCAGGTTCTCCAAACGATTGGGAATGGCCGCTTCGTGGTAGAGGTATTCCGTGTTTGCTCCACGGACTTTGTTCTGCCCCAAGCCCGCCATCGCGTGTTCATTGTTGGGCTGAATGCCGTGGACGGTGGCTTTTTCCCAGACCCGAATGAGGCACTGTGTGCGATCGGCAATGCGTTGCCACCGGCTGGCATGTGGGTTCGTGTTTTCGTAATAATAATTATAGTCTATAGTATAATAGTTTGCAATACTCCTGCCCTTCTGGAATACTGTTTGTGTTTTCACCTGCTTTAATGCTATAAGCTATAAGGCTATAAGATTTCTTACGGACTACTGATTACTGATTACTGTTTAGCTTAATTCAGTCTCTAGTAGAACCTCTTTCGGTCAAAGTTTGGAGCTCTTGCACCTGCACGATAGCTGCTTTCCCGAGGGCATGATGTAGTTATCAGTTCTAACTAATTAGCTATACTTATAATTGGTTTTAGTTGCATCAAAACCCTTGTGTAAGGACTTGCCATTTCCAGATGCCGATGATTGAAGCGAGCGCATTTCTGCAGCCAGACCACAGTGACATCTTGCAAAACGAACTTGCAAGGATGCGTGAGCTGAGGCAGAGTGAAGCATCGCAGCAATCCTCCAGTGAACCGGATAATCAACGTTGGGTCAATGAGCACATGAAAGCTGCCGAAATGAAAGGGCTCTGCTGGCCCATCCCTCGCTCTCCAGAGTTGCTAGCAAACAGTTGGTTTAGTTTTGCAGTTCCGCGTGAGCAGGAAGTGCTTTTGATGACAATCCCAGAAGGATATGCTTTCATTGATACCTCACAGTCTTTGTCTAGAGTGACTGTCACAAAAAATCCAGCAAAGCTTTTCACAGTGCTACCAGGTGCGCACATTTGGTGCGTAAGCGAGGCACGGTATCTTGTAGGCTCCGATCTTTTGGCTCTTCAAGGTCTGCCGCTTGAACCTTTTGCAGGCTTGACGGAGCGTCAGAAGGCTGACTTAGCTGGAAATTCTTTCAGTTCGACTGTGTTTGGTGCTGTTTTGGCCGGTGTACTCGCTCAAGTGACCGACCCGTCTGCATCGAACAATGCAGACGAGGACCTGGATGATGCAAACATGTTTCTCAGCTTTTGCAGATGATTTTGGAAAGTGCGAGCGTGCTGGCACAGACGTGAAAGGGAACTCGAAGCAAAAGACCTGCGCGGCCCATGCTTACTTTTAACTAGTGACTACTGACTGTTAAGTTAAGTTAAGTCTCGTACAGGAGTGGAGGTGAAGCTGTTGGCCAAGTCTTTCAACATCCGAGATTCCGAGATGTGTTAAGGTCTCGAAGGTTCTGGCTTCGGGATTGCACGGGGGTTTCAACGCCCGAGGCTCGAGGCATACGAAGGGTGTTTGCGACGTCAGGCGACTGTCGATTGAGGCCTGGCTATTTCTGAGTTGGCCTTGGTTCGTTATGGCAACATGTATTGAGATTAGCAATAGTAATAACTCCGTTTATCTTTAAAAGCTAATTCAGATTCAGAGTCGTTCTTCACAATCTGCAACTTTTTGTAGTTGGCACATGTGCTACCTTAGCCCACAACTTTAGACTTTGTGGCTCTGGGTCTTGATCGTGCTTCAGGCTTCAGGTTTGCACC